CTAAATCAGCCCTCAACCTCCCATTTTGGACATTCACATCTTCCCTTGGTACAGAGGGTGAAGGTCATAGGGAGTCAGAGGCCAGTGACTCACCGGTGTCATGCGCCCCAAATGTGAAGCCCTGAACAATGTGTGCTAAAAATACACAACTCAGGGGCTTCCCAAGAGCCTCTGGCCTCACTCCCCTGCCAAGGGAGAAGGGCAAATGCTTGGTCGTCCCAGAGTTCCGGGCAGCTTCCATAGTGTGAAATTTCTGAGATGCCTCAAAAATTCTCCATTGTACCATTGTCTGTTCCCCATTGTACCATTGTTTTATTTTATTTTAATTTTTTGGCTTTTATTGTATATTTCAGATGTATAATGTGTTTTTTATCAGCCCAAATCATGCATTAATATGTTTTGATATCCATAGAAAAATTATTAGATTACTACAGTAAATCAAATTAATATGTCCATCATCTCACACAATTACCTTTTTCTGAAGTAAAAACACTTAAAATCTACTCTCAGTAAATTTCCGGCATATATAGCATGTTAAGCAATTTAGAAAATCACCTCAATTTCTCTGAAATATCGAAGAAAAATTGTTACTCTGGTGTGATGTGTCTTTTTTTCTTTTTCGAGTCACATAGGAGTTAAGGACAAGGGCTCAGAGTAGGGCCCCCCTGTTCAAATCTGGATTCCATTCTATCCTGTCTTTGAGACTTTAGACAAATGTCTTCACTGGTCAGTGATCTTCTTTCCTCATCAGTAAAATAAGGATAATAATTATATCTCGCTTCTAGTGTTGAGAGGTCAGTTTCATGAGGCACTAAGAGGAGTTTTCACATAGGAAGTACTACATGAAGGTTAGATACCACTATGATTATGCTTCTTCTGTGACATCTTGTGCCACAAACAAAATGTAAGCTCCCCTGACTTACAGGGACCAAACCAAAGCCTTACTTCCCAATCCTATTCCCTCATCTTTAGATTGCATGATGTCTTATTATGGTTCCTCTTCCAGACCTCTTGGATTTCATTCTTCTGGATACAGAGGTTTGGGGAGATCCACAGGTACCTGGGATTGGGGCACCACAGACATGGCTCTCTTCAGAACTAGTCTGAAAGTCCCATCACCAACACACAAAGGAATGTCTGGGCAAGAAAGATCCTACAAGGCATTCAAGGGTGACAAGAGCCAGCCCAGGGTCAGCCACCCCTACCCAGAAGCATTAATGATGTCGTCATTCCTGCCCTTGATCCAGATGTAGCCATCTGTATCAATAGTTGCTTTGTCCCCAGTGTTGTAAAAGTCCCCACATTCCACTTCTGCTGTCTTCTCTGGGTCACCCTGCAAAGAGAACAGAGCCCCTTTGTTAAAGGCAGTGAGTTTAGAAATTATGAGCCAGAACCTTGGGTTCACATCTGGGTTTGAATTCTGTCTCTGGTTCTACTGGG